TCATCATCATCATCATCATCATCATCATCATCATCATCATCATCATCATCATCATCATCATCATCATCATCATCGTCATTGCAGTTAAGTATACACATAAGGTTGACCGAGTTTAACATCGCCGAATTATATTATCCAATCTACACACTATGTCTCAACCATATGTCGAAGAAAGACTTAAATATGCATTTTAACATTCTTTCTCTGCTTAGCTTGCATTCCACAAGGTGGTGGGATCAGCTTTCCCAATCCGTCTCTTCCACTTCGCTCTGTCCATGACATCTTCTTCTGAGACTTGGCACTCACTCATGTCTTTCATTACTACATCTTTCCATCTCGTTTTCGGTCTGCCTCTGGATCTGCTACCAGGGAAAGTTGTAATGCTAAATTACCGACGTAGTCTGGCGGCCTCCTCCTTACATGACCATACCATCGCAGCCTACTCTCCTGCATCTTGTCAGCGATGTCACGCACACCGAGGCTGCCTCGCACGAACTCGTTACGGATCTCATCGAGCCTGGTTACGCCGCACATCCATCTCAGCATCTTCATTTCAGCAACTTGAATGGTATTCATGTCCTTTTTTGTTACGGCCCACGTTTCACTCCCGTACATGAGGACTGGTCTTATCATGGACTTGTAGACCAAACCCTTGAGTTTAACTGGCATTCATCTGTCGCAAGTAACACCAGTTAATTCTCGCCATTTTGCCACGCTGCGGCTATTCGGTGTTGAATGTTGCATTCCAGGTTCCCAGAGATGTGCATCATACCTCCCAGATATTTATATTGATCGCACATGGTGACTAATTGACCGTCGATAGGAATCGGCCGGTTGTCGCTTAAATTTGGATTGTTAAAGGACATGTACTGGGTCTTTGCAACACTCAACACAAGGCCACCGGTCTGGAACTGGTGTTTCCGATAAAGGAGTGCCTCTTGTAACTTCGGTTGGCTCTCGGCGCAGATAGCTATATCATCTGCATAGATAAAGGTCCACTCAGCTAAATCGTCGCCAATGTATTATGAATTCTGAATTTCTTTTGAATAAACTACTCTGTTTAATTCATTTGACACTTTGCATCAAACCATTTTTCGAAATTTACTAAAAGTGTTCGTCGCGGATGACAACAGATATTAGGTAGATAAAATCAACATCAAATTTAAGTTTGTCATCATATATACTAGTTTGGTCTCGTGGCCTTACCGTTCGCCGCCGTTTGTACGTAAGGTCGGCGGTTCAAATCCCAAGCCACTATTTTTTTTTAATATTTACATAACGTTTTGTTATACATTCCATTTAGTAGATATAATAACAATATCTAATATTCCAGAGTATTCAAGAACGTTCAAAGCAAGCGATCATTCTTAAAAATCTGGAAAATAAAAGCAGAAATAGATTATGTTGTCGTGCACATTCCCGCCGGCTACGTCACCGGCCGAATTGAAATAGACGCAGATTATTTTGGAATATGTTGCCAACAAGCGTCAGCGATCCGCCTAAAATCTTGTCGAATTCTGCATTCGTAACATATACCAATAGTTTTATTGCAAACACTTGTATTTAATACCTTTTTTATAAGAGAAAGGGGTCAAACGATCAGCGGGAACACCGAGACGGTGCGGATTTAATACCTTATAGTAAATTATTATGTAACACGAGCATATTAAAATAATCCTTTCCTGAACCCCACCATATTATGTAGTCTTCCTGCATTTCGTATCCAACGACTTTCTGTGGTTCGTACAAGTTCCGTCCCGAAAGAAGAGCGCTGCAAGCTTTTAATCCCTGTTGATGTGTGTAATAGCTTTCCGTAATGGATAATCATGTTAAGATTTTTTAAGCTAATCATGGAAGAACAGATATTTGTATAAAGGCAATTTTTACTTATCTTTTTGAACACTTGTCGACCTTGAAATTAAAACTAAAAAAAAACATTAACTGCCATATTCCGATTGGATTAATGTATTTAACTAACCATGTTCCTAGCGTAAACAGGCTTTAAGCAGCTTACTGCTTGACCTATCATCACCGATGACTTATCATCACATGTTTGAAAATTGGAACATTATTTGCAACTCTCTCCAAATTCTCATTTGAACCCTTGAGTATGTATTGAAATTTCACGTGATTAATATGAACTTGTATGTTTTATTACAATTACGAGAGGACGACCAAGAAGTTATTTTCGGCATTTGTCGAAAGCAATAAAAACAAGAAGCAAAGTGCTCCATCCAAATGAGTGGGATGTTAACAACAAGTTAAATAGACCGTGTATGACGGCCATTAGAAAACATATTCACACTAAAAATTATATTTAAAACCTCTTTAAAAAAAATATGACTGCAGAGTACAACTTCGCCAAGATCCTTAAAATGATTGTAGTTACCAAAAACGGTTTTTTCGGTTGAAATCTTGAAACAGATGTTTTGCAAATACCTTTTTCATAACACTATACACAAAACTATTAGAATAACATATTTTTATCAGTTTCTATAAAGTTTTTAAATTACAGTTTGCGTAATAAAATAAATAAAAGACGTAACCATATTAAATTTTCTTCAGTTGTTTAAATGTAAAATTTAGGATAATATAGAAAGTTTCATTATTATAATCTCGCTTACATTTTATTCAGACGCGATTAATTACAATTTTAACTAGAACAATACCTGATTGTCATTTACGACAACAGCTTAAAATAAAAACTTAATTTCAAGAGTAACCCGAGAGACTTGTATTAAACTCTGTTTATATATAGACAGACTAAAATACTTGACCAATTAATAATGGCCGTTGAAAAATAACAAAGATTCGGACTTGGCACTATGTCTGTACAAATAAGATGAGCTCTGTGGAGAAAATTGTGAAATATAACGATGTTTTAAACGTATTTCTAAACCATAACAAAATTAACAAAACAAATATTTACTTCGACAGCGTTAATGACTTTTATTAAAAAAAAAACTTAACATTTGCCAAGTGTGATTTTAATGGATAACATTTGAAAGGAGTTATATTTTTTATTAAGTGAAATTATTATAAAAGCAAGTATTGGTGATCAAGTGATCTTAAGTAGGATTAAGTTAAGTTTAATAATGATGTAACGATTCGAATCAGAAATTTTACGTGTTGTATGTGGGTGCGATGATTCTACGCTCGATTTAACATCGGCCGTGCGATTTAGTGCACTTCCTGATGTATCAACATCGGTGGCCAGCGACTGAGCTTTTATTGATTTATTATTAAACTCTCCCCAAGCATAGCCACATTATATCTTACTAATATTATACATGCGAATGTTTAGATCAGTCTTTCTCAAAGTGGGCGATAACGCCCCCTTGTGGGCGCTGCGGGTCTCAAGTTGCGAGTTATAGTAAAAATTTCGTTTAGAATTCTCCGTTAATATACATACATAGGTAACAATCATTAATTAATTTAATTTGAAGTTATAGTGGTTTTTAAATATGTGAAGATATGGGGGCGTTAAAAATATATTTATTCTCAAAGTGAGCAGTAGACAAAATAAGTTTGGGAACCACTGGTTTAGATGGATGTTTGTTTGGAGGTATCTCCAGATCGGCTAAACAGATCTCGATGAAATTTGGCATACTTATAGAACATAGTCTGGAAGATAACATAGGCTACTTTTTTTCTAATACCGCGCGGACGGAGTCGCGGGCGACAGCTAGTTGTTTATAAAGTTAACTATGTTACATATGACAGTTAAAGTATTGAATTATTCTGGAAAAATGGAAAAAAATCTTAAATAACTGGCTAAGAAATTGAGGATTAAGAAAAGGTTTAGGTTTTAGGATTAATTGCTCGACCGATGACAAGCCGAAGACAACAATCCTTTCGAAATATCTCACTAGATAAAGTAGGTTCAGCTGTTTAGGCTTCAGTTGGTTACAATGGAAGTGTACGAACAAACTCCGAAACAAATTATTTTAAATATTTCCAAGTAAGTACTAAGATATTTATTACATATTATTGAAGACGGAGTGTCATGTTGTAACCAAGATGAACAAATAAAACAAACATCTAAATCAACTGTATAAATGAAAATGCTAAAAATAATTGACTTACAAGTTGTATTGCATATCAAGACACTAACATTATGTTTACTGGGACAGCAACTGTCAGGCTATGAGGACGGCCAACGGTACGAGAATGCCCACGAAAATGGCCGTCACAGAGGCTATCTTGTATTTGTGTTCACGCGCCTTCACGTTCAGGTAAGCCTCGAGCCTTAGGAAGCTGCTCACATCGTAGTTCATCCGTTCGTACTCTTTCAGCTGGCTGATAAAACCAGGGTTGGGATTGATGAATCTCCGCCTGTTGCGCACGTAAGAGAACGCCTCTTCAAACGTCAGTTGGTACTTCGCCATCAAATACGCTATCACAATTGTCGCAGATCGCGACACCCCAAAGTGGCAATGCACAAGAACATTTCCTCTGTGGATTCCTTCATCAATGAATGCGTTTGCCATCGGGAAATATGGCAACAGGTTGGTATGTGGAGAGTCATACGCTCTGATAAAGAGTGTCGCTACATGTGGATTGGGGAAAGCCGATTTTGGTATCCTATGCGTCTCAATGGTGAGGACATGTGTTATGTTGAGAGCGCGGATGACGTCCGCGTCGACCGCTGCCTTCGCGTTGCTGAGGTAGAGGCCAGGCACGATCTGACTGTAGCACGACTGCGTGCAGAGGTCTATCTTCTCATACACCACCCGCCTGGACCACGACCTCAGGCCATTGAATGCGAGAACAGGGTTAGGGATGCTGAGAAATGCCGCTACGAATGCACTTCTCAACATCACCAATAGAAGTCAATGAAGTTATGTTATAATGTCCATTTTTCTTTACATTGTTAGTTTTCCGAAGTTTTTTAAATATAAACATGTGGTTTAGTTTGTTCTTGATAATTTTGACATGAATCAAATCACTAATTGTCACAGGAGTAGTTGACAGCGCAATTTATATTTTTCTGTGAGTGCCAGTGCCTAAATGACAATATGTTATGAATTATTGGTAGAGTTTTTACATATGTAGAATTATGAGAAAACTCCATGCTTATATTTCACATCTGGTTCTCTTCAAAATTAATCTGCTTGCTTGGTCCTGTAACCGATACTATTAGATATTATTCTTCCGTTATTTTTAATTATAACGAACAGATGTTGTAACTTCAAAAGCAATCAGAAAAATCAGAATGTTCATTACAAGTAAACTTATATAGTACAACTAAACTTTACAGATTTATTTCGGTTGTTCGCAAAACAAATAACTCGGTCTGTATACACTGACCTACTTGTTGTATCCAGGCCGGCGGCGATCGGAACGCGGCGCTGAGTGCGGTGCTCGACGCCTCTCGTCTCACGCCTAATCATTCTCAATATATAATTAATTCAACACCACCACATAGGAGTTATCTGGTAGATCTGAATAAAAAATACGATGATCCTGGTCTTTAACTAGGAACTCTAGGATACAGAAGAACTATTGGAGTTTGAACAAAGTTTAACCTCCTAAACTGACCTACCAGTCCTCCCAAGTGTTTGGTTCGCGGGGCCGTCACCCTACCCCGCGATAATACCGGGGCATTCCCCAATCCACCAACCGGAGACGCGCCACATCAGAGTTCACCTCTACTACGCCCACTCGGACAAGCGAGCGGGTCCGTGGATACAGGATGTTCTACACGATGTCATTTGTTTTGTTGTTCAAATGAAAAACAAACAAAGGCTATGCCAAGTTCAATATTTAAAGTAATAAATATTGCTCTTACAATATTTATTACTAATTAGTGTTTACCAGAATAATGTAAACATTATACATATAGATTTCAACGTTAACAAATGACTAATACAAAGTCATAATCAGTCAGGCTTAAAATAAAACTATTTTAAAGGACTAATGTAGTAAAAGTTTTGCTAGAATAGACGTGATAATCTTTACAAAGCTCTTCTAAAAAAGCTATAGGACAACA